GCCACAGAGAGCAGCAGCTGCTCTTTGGGCTTTCCTATGTTCAGCTTTGGTGTCATGTTCCTCAACAGTTCCCCTCTTTTGTGGGCACGCTGTAGAAGTAACTCCTGGAGCTCCTGACCAAGTGGAAAGCACTCTGCATTCACTCTCGAACCAGCAGGAAGTTTAGTAATGGTCTGAGGACACTGATGCTATTGTCTATTCCTCACGGTTATCATCAGTAGGCTTCAAAGCACTTTACAAAGGAAGTCAGTATCATTAACCCCATTTTACAGATGGGGAAACTGAGGCATGTAGATTGGAAATTACTTGCGCAAGTCACTGGTAGAGGTAGGACTAGAACCCAGGTCTCCTAAGGCCTAGGCTAGTGTTCAAGCCACTACTGCTTTCTTTGGGTAAAGTCAGACTAGAAGCTATTCTGCAGGTGCTGGAAGTGAGAGGGGGCCTGTACGTTCCACCCCACAGATTGCACCTCCCACAAGATACAAAGCAGAGTGCACCTGCCGGTGTGAGGCTGGTTCTGAACTCACCCTGCACCTCAAACACCTACCTGCATGCATGTCCCAGGGCTGTGGGGGCTGGCCCGAAAATGGATTAAAGTGCAGTCGGACCAGACCCAGGAAAGCCGGTGGACAGAACAGGAGAGTAGAAGGTCCACTGGCAGCCCCAGTGTAGGGGAAACCTCTGTTCACAGGTCAGTTATTCTATGGGAACCGGGAAGGACTCTGGCACCAGATTCCCTCTCAGCCAGTGCTTTGCTGGCTGCAGCCTGTGTCCGGGTCTGCTGCTGGCTGGGACTTTCCGTGAAGCCAGCTGGAGATGTTTTCTTATCTACCAAGCTCATTCTCGATTGAAACAAGTAGAAATTGGCTTGATTCACCCCCACCCAACAATAGGTGTTGGCACCCTCCGGCTTCCAGGTGGGCTCCAGCAAGGGAGGGCAGCTTTAAAGTACAGTGAGCTGCCTTGGTAGAAGCTGCACAGGGGACGTGCTGAGTCAGCAGACTGACCAAAGGGTCAGTTACTTTCAGGACTTTTCTGCTGGCTCTGGGCCCTTGGTGTAGGGGGCACCTTGCACAATTGCTGTGCACTTGGCCCCTGGGGTAATTCGTGCCACCAGGTAATTCTGCTGCCATAAACCCTGCAGCGAGTCTAGCTCTGCTGCAAACATCTTTTACAACCAGCCTTTTGGGGGTGAGTCTGCTAACAGGAGGAATGCAGGGAAAAGTCACACGGAATGATTGAGTGACAGACGCTGAGCAAGAGGATCGGGGAGTCCAGGGCACTGGGCTGAGATTCAGGAGCTCTGGGCTCTGGTCTCATCTCTACCCTGCCCTGCTCTGTGACTGTGGTCGAGTCACTGCCCTGCTCTGCCTCCCTCCCTCCCCACTCTTCCAGTGGGTCTGTAAAGCACCCAGCACAACGGGGAGTCTCCGGGGCTCCAGTGACACGGACGCCTGCCCTCACTAGGGAAAAGCTGGGTTAACACATGGGAAAATCCTCGCGTGGACAAGGCAATTGTGGTTTTCATATGGGCTAACTGGCTTAACTCTTCAGCTCCCCCCAGTGTTTGCCTCAGCCCATTAACAGGTGTGCGAATGACACACTGCCCTCGCCACGCAGCTGTTTCCAGGTGTGAGCTAATATGTGGGTGGTACGTGTGAATAGGGGTAATTCAGCTGTGCGACTAACCTCCCAGCTCTGAGCTGTTCTCGGAACATGTGGCTGAAGGCCTCCTGGCTCTCAGTCCAAGCACTTGGAGGAGAATGCCCTGGCGAGACCCTGTGGCTTCCTTTGTCCATTTCATACAGTTCATTAACGTTTGGAGGCTGGATGGAAATCTTCCTTGACTGCTTATTGGAAAATAACTTCCTGGGGAGTTAACAGGCCCTGGCTAAAGCTGCGAGGGCTGGATCCTGCTCCTATCAAAGTCACTTGTAAATTGAAAAGATAGAAGTGGTGATTGCATATTATTGTTTCACAAGGGGCCTGCGCCATACATCCCTGCCCACTCCTCCTCCCACCCGTGGTGGAGAAAGAGAGACAGAATCCATGGACACCTGGATCATGAGATGAGCTAAATTCTAGATGTTATATGAACACTGTGGTTAATTATTTGTTCCCCAGTAGCATCTACAAACTTGACTGAGATCAGAGCCCCATTGGGCAGGGACCTGCACATGCAAATAGTAACAGACAGTTCTTGACTTAAAGCATTTAGAACCTACATAGAAAAGGGAAGGTTTATCATCCCCATTTAACAGAGGGGGACCGAAGTACTATGTGACTTGGACGAGGCTGTCCAGGGAGACAGTGGCAGAGAACTGACCATCTGCTTTCCTGAGTGGCAGGACAGTGCCTTAAGCACAAGACCATCCTTCTCCTCTGAGTTTACACCTCACTTCATTTGGGATCTGTCTGTTTCTTTGTCCAATAATCCTGAAGGTCGTCAAGGAGGGATGCCCATCCTTCTGCCCTCAAGAGCCCGGGGGAAAGCCATCCCCTCACAGAGTAACAGATTCCAGATCCAGAAGGGACCACTGTGATCATCTAGTCTGACCTCCTGGGTAGCACAGGCCAGAGACCTGCTGCAAAATAACTCCCGCAGCAGATCTTTTAGAGCAACAGCCAGTCTTCATTTAAAAATGGTCAGTGAGGGAGAATCCACCCTGACCCTCAGTGACTTGTTCTACTGGTGAATTACTCTCGCTGTACGTTGTACCAGGCAGAGGTGTGTTTTTATATTCCCTGGGAATCGCTCTCCCGTGGAAAAGGGCCCTCGAGTTTGCTGGACCAAGAGCAGAAGTAGGGTCTCCCTTTTCGATAAATGTACCCGTCAGCGGCGTACACCTGTGCTCTGGGTGACCACAGCCCGTCTGCCGAGAGCTGGCTGCAGGACCTGGAAACAGGGCTGTAGGTCAGGGCACAGTGTCACCGCGTCACAGGGCGGACCTCAGGAAATGACCCGGGATGGCATGTCCCACCCTCCCCTAAGAGCCCCGCTGCAATCCAGGACGAAGCCAGGGCTCAGAGTGAGGCATGTGGGTGGGAGGAGCGTAGCTGCCTTGCTGCCACCCAGGGTGGGCTTGTTCTGGGGATAAACTCCAGCCATTAGGGCTGTCAGACCTGCAGGCCCCCTCTGACATGTACCCCCGCTGCGGCTGCGGGAGTCCAGCCTCACCCCTCCTCTGCATTGTTAGTTCCGGATCTTACCTGGCGGAGCCGTGCTGCCCGTTTGGGGCTCCGGTGAGCTCCAGGATGTCACTTATGGGGATGCCCTTTCCCCCCATTCATTGGAAGCGTTGGAGGCAATATGGAGTGACACTGCTTAGGGTCTGGCCCCAGAACAGCTTCTCCCTGCCAGTTTGGCAGCAGCCTTCCCCGGCCGGCTCCTCACCTGGCCCAGCAGCTCAAAGCCAGGCCGCTGTTCTGTGCGTGTCTTGGCTGGGTGCACCGTATCGCTCTTAGGCCACCCCTAGGGAGGGCCTTGTGCCCCTGCTGCAGCAGAGAACCCCAAGTGCAGTCAGACCTTTAGGAGCAGGAGCAGAGACTAGTTTCTCAAGAGCACAGCTGTAGGGCTCGAGGGCGGGGAGGGGCAGAGAAGCACCAGTAAAGCCCAGAGCATGGCTCATAACAAGGAGGGACGGTGTGAGTGCGGTGCAAAAGGAGAAACAATGGGTCCCGTGCTTCCCTCCACTTCTCAAATAAACAAGCTCGCCTGTACTTGGTGGGAATTCCTGACACATGCTCAGAGGGGACATGCTCAGCAGGTGACTCGGTGCTAAAACCTTCCTGACGCACAGAGATATTGTGTGACACACAGACCCCCAACACACACTCACGCTAGCGGTGAAAGGGTTTTGTTTGCTCAGGGAGGGAGGGGAGTGAGCTGAGTCACCCTGACGAATTTCTCCTCAAAGCCTGTGGAAAGGAGCACCACTGCAATAGGACCAGTAACAGGTAAAAGCCACATCTCAGTCAAATAATTTAGAATCATAGAATATCAGGGTTGGAAGGGACCTCAGGAGGTCATCTAGTCCAACCCCCTGCTCAAAGCAGGACCAATCCCCAATTTTTGCCCCAGATCCCTAAATGGCTCCCTCAAGGATTGAACTCACAACCCTGGGTTTAGCAGGCCAATGCTCAAACCACTTCCTCCCCTCCATCCTTTAAATCTAAAACCAAACCTCTGACTGGGTAACAAGCTTTGTACAAGTTTGGGTAACCCTTTATGTCCCACGTTGGGCCACCAAAAAGGTGGTATTAATGTAGATGGAATAACTCCATACATTTCCGGTTCCATAGCTTCTGTTCTTACCAGGCAGGATTTCACCAGTCAGCCACAAGAGTGGCAGGTCTGGCCCATTCGCTGAGCAGTGACTCAATCCCAGCCGGCAGCCTTTAGCTTTCAGCTCCATTGTACAGGGAGGTGGGAACTGCAGAAGAAAGTTGGTGCAGAGAACTCCTGTCTGCAGGAGGCTGTAGCTGTAAGCCCCACTTCACCACAGAAAGTTCCCTGCCAGGGCTCTGGGAACCTGTTTCAGCAGAGTTCCTTAGGCCTGGTCTAGACTAGAAAATTAGCTACGTTGTTCAGGGGTGTGAAAAATCCACACCCTGGAAGAATGTAGATAAGCCAACCTAAGTCCCTGTGTAGCACTTGGAAGGAGCCAGAAGAATTCTTCTGGGGTGGGAGAACCCCTCCTCTCGGCATACGTAGTGTCTGCGCTGTGGTGTTTTAAATGTAGACCAGCCTTTTACTTGCACACCAAGCCAGGCTCCTCATCCATCTGAAAGTGGCTCCTTTAGGCCTTCCCATGGGCTCCCCAGGCCTCAGATCCTCCCCAAGGCTGGGCCATTGGTTCAGCACGTCATGGGATGCATAGAGAATGCCTTGTGGGAGGGTAGCCCTGGTGGGAACTGGTCTAAGAATGTAACCAGTTTGGCACCAAATCTCTCCAGTTTGAGTGTGCTCTGTACTAATCCCGTCTCTCCTCCCTGGCTAGGAACGGCTGTGTGTCCCCCCTGTGACAACGAGATGAAGTCGGACGCCATCATTGAACACCTGTGTGCCAGTGAATTCGGTAAGGAAACATTCCGGCCTCCTCTTCTCCCTTTTCAGAGTTTCATTTACACGAGGGAGGAGAAACTCGATATCATGCCGAGCCCCCTCTCCTTGGGCTGCTCAGCTAATTACTGACAGTTTCCTGTCTTGGTTAGGAATTGCCATGGTGCAGTAAATTCGATGAAGGAGGAGCAGCTCCCTCCTAGCATGCTGGGAGCACTGCATGGCTGCTGCAGGGCCATCATGTTTTGCCTTTTCTTTCTGGTGCTTGCATCAAAAACTAATGTGGATCCACCCTGCTGAGCCAGCAGGAGCCCGGCTGGAAGTTCCCCTGGGGCGGCCATGGCTGTTCCGCTGAGTCTCATTATCAGACTGGAAGTGCACTGCCCACAAAGTGTCTTTGGTGCTGGAGCTGCATGGAGCCGAGTCTGGGACTGCTCCCTCTGAGCTGTGCAGAAGAGAGCTAATCGCACCCAGGAGCAGGGCCTGACCCTGTACGTGTCCTCTGCCCATGTCATCATCTACCCCAGTGCCCAGGGCTACTGGCCTGGAGCAGCGGAATGGCACCCCAAGTTGGCAGTGGGGAGCATGGCCACTCAAGTAACAGGGCAGTGGGGGATTGGCTCCCTGGGGTGCCTCCCCGCCGGCCCAGGAAGCTGCAATGTCACCCCAGCCGGGCCTCCCTGAGGCACTTGGGTGGCAGGTTTCTCTCTAGTAAATGGACATGCCCCTAGATGTCACTGTTGTGCTGTGGGAGGCCGGGAGAGGGGAGCGGAGAGATCAGGAGGCTAACGGGAGGGCAGGCAGTGAGGGATAAAGAGCTCGGGTGCTTACAGCCGGGACACAGCTGGGTCCTGGAGTTTGAGTGACTCAGACTTAGTGACACAGGGAAGCTGGGGAGGTGGCGGCAGTGGGAAGTGGAAGGGGCGCATTCCCAGATCGTGGATCCTGCCTGGCTTTGCTAACCTGGGCCCACGTGCAGCTGAGTTTTGGGGCTGGGATTGTGGAGGGGGAAACTCCCCCACTCCTGTTCGGGGGGGAGAGAACTCGGTTTCCCCTGTGGTGTTTTGCCCTTCTCCGCCTTACACAGTGGGCCCTGTGGTTATTCATCCAAAACCAAGACTTTTTTTCTGCAGAGTCCTCCACTCCGCGCAGTTACATGCAGTCCCGGGGCCTGCTCGCCTGGAGCAGAGGCAAGAACAGCAGGGGGTCTCGCAATCTCTCTGACCTGGCTATTGTGATTTCACAGGACTTGATAAGGTCTCTGACAGCCAGAAGTCACTTATTGTTCCCTGTGCCACTCTGCAAACCCCAGCCATCACCCACCTCACCCAGATTACTTCTTCCCTTGTCTCTCCAGAGCTGCAATGGCCTGGCTCCGGTTCTACTCCTTCACCCAACAGCCTCCCCACCGCCCGTGCCTGAAGGCCCTACTCTTCGCCTCTCTCTTTCTCTGGGGGCTCTCCCTGGGAGGCTGCGCATCCCTACTAGACCCTGCTAGGGGCATTTCATGGCCTTGCCTCTAGCGCGGGCGGGTCCCCTGTGCAGAAATGGGGCAGCCCCTCCTGAATAACGCCTCCTCACCCTGTTAACTCTGCGCTGTAGGAGACATCGCCTAGTGTCTGTGTTGGTCACAGGGCGCAGAGGGGGTTCGGTGGTTGCTGTAAAGATTGTTCGGTGCTCCAGGGTTAACGTGGCTTCCCCGGAGCCTTAGCACATTTCTGTTTTGACAGTGTCTCTGGCTCTAAAGCCATCCGTGTGGGGAATTTGTGTCCCGGCCAGTCAGCCTGTGGTCTGCCTTGGGGAAGGCTGCAGCCGAGCTGAGCTGGCTCTCTGCCTGGAGCGTAAGTAAGATTAGTAACTGCGAGTGACATCCCAGGAGTCTTGCACCTGCAGCCTCGGCTGGAGGAGAGGGGAAGAGCGTATTCCCCACGCAGAGAGATGCAGCCTCCCAGCTGGGCTGAGCTGCTCTGCAAAGAAGGGGCCCAGCGCCCACGCTCTGCTGGAGCTCAGGCACTGCTCACTGTTCAAGCAGGAGCATTTTTGACCCATGTGGGAAGGAAACTCCCTCCAGATGCCTCCCAGTCACCAGTGATTCTTACAGAGTAAACTTCTAGCAGGTTTCCCTGGCCATGCGTGAGACAGGGGAGGAGTCTGCAGGATTTCTAGCAGGTTTCCCTGGCCATTGCAGAGAGGAGGCCAGCTTGGTCCGGCTGAAGTGGAGGGGACAGAGTCAGGCTGTCAGCAAAGTGGTTGGTTCGGGGCCATCGTCTGTGCTGGGCTGTACCCTCACTGGCCAGTCTAGAGCTTCAGGGGCTCAGGTGTGCCCGTCAGGTGGCCAATGAGTCCAGGACTGGTTGAAATGAATGCTCTGAGCTCCCTGGCTGATGTGGGACAGGCTGGTGCTGCTGACACGTCGTAGAGCCAGCCAGTGTCCTCAGTTACTCCATTTTCATGTAAAATGCAGCATTTCCCCTCCAAACTGCCCTGGCCTCTGCAATTTGCAGGAGCCATCCAGACTTCAGCCCCCTCCTCCTGCAGCCCCATGGGGCAGCCTGTGTGTTTACAATAGCTGCTCTATTGCTCACAGCCCCCCGTCTCTGCTTGGAGCCAGAGGTCAGGAAGGTTCAGCCAGTCAGTTATCTGATTGGCCGGCCATTCTCCAGCGCCGGGGAGCAGGGGTGTCCAGGCACAATCCCGGTCAGCGCTGAGATGGACAGTTCTATGGAGCCAGCGCAGAGCAGAGGAACCACAGCCTTTCCAAAGATCCTCCCAGGCCACTGTCTTTGTGATAATTCCTCCTCATTCGGTAAAAAGAGGAAGCTGTCAATCAGCATTGCCCCTGCCTGAGAGAGACAGAGAGATCTCCCTATGGCTCCCCTCAGTGGGTCACTCTGCCTTTCTCCTCTGGTCCTCAAATGAATAACACCCCAGGAGACACACAAACGACCCCCTGCCCTACCCCGGCACCTGGTAACCCAGAATGCTGGGTACTTTAAACTATTGCTTTAAGACATCGTCCAAAAGTCCTAGGGCAGGTGTCCCCATTGTTGAATGGGGGTGTGTGTGTGAAGGTTTGGACTCAGATGTGGGTTTCTCGAATGTGGCTGTAACTCCAGCTGGCTGAGCTGTGATGTTGATAGGGCTTCAGTGGCTTTCCTGGGTGAGTCTGTGTGATGCAAGAGGTCAGACTAGTGATCATATTGGTCCTTTCTCACCTTAGAGTCTATGAAGAGTCTAGAGTCTGTTGCTAGCTGGTCCCACAATATGCAGCCTAAAGCCCACAAGGCAAGTGTGTGCCACATGGCTAGTGCAATGCAGACAAGTGTGAGCAGGGTCAGGGGAACTACGTTGCCTTGTCCCATGACTCCTTGCATTGCCTAGCACATCTGCCCAGGTGCTCCCATGGGGAGTGGAGCTGCAGGGTGACAGCCTGGTTTAGAACTTCAGAGTCATCCAGATGCACCCAAAAGTTTGGATGCTTCTCTGAGCTCCTTTGGCCTGCCAGACTGCTCTTCAGGACTTGCAAGGCCTCCTCGTGCTCGGATATCTAGGCAGAGGACACTAGCTGAGAAGGCTGTGCTGTGCTGCTCCCCCTTGCCCCTTTTGGAGCAGGAAGGAGGAATACCACACCAGACTTTCTGAGCCTCCTGAAGGCTTGTGGTAGGCTTGGGGTGGGAGATGAAGAGGGAGGCCTGTCCTGAGTGGCTGCTCGGGCGTGGCTGTGCAATGAATTTGGTTCACTCCATTATCTACTTCAAAGTGTCACATTCCAGCTTTGATTCTTGCTTTTGTGGACAAGACACAAACTTGCAGCAATGAGCGAGTGCAAATCCCCAATGGTGGCCTGTTCTGCTGGCTTCCTTTTATCAACTCTGCGTTCGTCTGCCAAACCCATGTGCAACTTTTGCAGCTATGGAAAGCAAAAATAAGCCCTTATGTTGCTAGTGTTGAGCAATGAGGAAAAGAATGCAGAGCTGGTGGTTTAGGATGTGAGGCAGACAATCATAGCTAAACAGAACTTAATGAAAAATAGTGTAGGGAAAAATATTAGTTTTCTCAGATCAAACCAGCATTGACTGTTTTTGACATCTTTGCTGGTAAACGTAACGTTCCTGGAAGGTTCTTAAAGGCCTTATGAACAAGGTGTGCATTCCTCAGGGATTAGCATTTGTGCCAAAGGGTGCTATGCAATCCCAAACCTGCTCAGCATGCAGGCCTCATTATCCTTTCTGCTGGCAATGAATGCGTGACTCTCCGCAGGTTTGATTGGCCAAATGTCCCAAGTTCAAGGCAGATTTTTTCCAACAGGGAAAAACAGACAGGAAAACCTATGTAATCGTTTCCCAGGAATGCATATGCTTCAGACCAGATCAAGTAACAGATGGGGAAGCCAAAGTGGAGTTTGAATTCAATATGGCAGCCAGCCTGCAAGCCTGCTGTCTTTAGAAATGCTTGATCAGGGGAGAGAAGGCAGTCTGAGTTCTGCCCCATTGCACGGGTCTCCTCTCAGTCTCCTGAATCATAGAATATCAGGGTTGGAAGGGACCTCAGGAGGTCATCTAGTTCAATCCCCTGCTCAAAGCAGTACCAATCCCCAACTAAATCATCCCAGCCAGGGCTTTGTCTGACTTTCATGTTGAGACTATTGATTACTGTAGAGAGAGATGAATAAGGGGGAACATGGTTAAAGTATTCAAAGTAAATAATGGGACAGAGGAGGCTGCTGGGGATTGTCTCTTGTCCCTGTCTCAAAGCACTGGAACCAGGAAATGGAAAGGAGGCTAATTCCAAACTGATCAGAGGAAATATTTTTTCACACTCGCAGTTATCTGGTGGAACTCACTGCCACAAGATATTATTGAGGCCAAGAGTTTAACAGCATTCAAAAAGGGATTTATATTCATACAGGTGAAACTAATATCTGGAGCTGTTGCAGTAAAATTGAACAAATTTTGGGAAGGGATACAAACTCTCCTGCTGTAGGGCAGGCACCATTCTCTGGCTATTGGGGGTAGG